CATATTTCAGCGCATGTAGCTGGTGTTCGAGCAAATTTGCTCTGGCAATGCCCCGCTTTGGGCTTAGCGAAGCAACCAGCGGGGCTGAGACGCAAAGCGCCACCAAGGTCTTGCACAGGCTTCCCCACATTGCAGCTCCACAAGTATTGGGGGTCTCGGCACTACAGGATGCTTGGGCGCTAACGCTGCAGCCAAAATTTGGCGCGTTCCAGAAGGCAGCACGCAAAGACTGCAAGGACCAGTCATCTAACCCGGTCCTCCGGAGAGAGCTCGGCTCCACCTGCCAAATGATACAACACTTAAGACTTGACATATAACCCTATTATAATATAGTAGTTTCCATTCTATTTTCCATCATCCCAATATAATCCCCCAATATAACCCTAATATTACCCCAACTCAATAAGACTTAACATTAGACAAGCCAGTTGATGTCTGCGTGTTTGCATGCCACGTAGGATTGTGGCTGGCCTATGACATTGTCTTTCCCGCTGGTGGACACGTTTGCACCGCTGCCGCTGAGCTTTCGCCGCAGCAGTTCGAAAGCTGGCCCGCCCTTGGCAGCATTCAGTTGAGCGACTCTTGCTTTACGATTTGAACAAGCACGGCTGCCTACTTTTGCCATTGCAAAATGCTGAGAAGGCCGCAGAAGCGCTGGGCAGGGCCAACTCTATTCTCTGTACGCTGTCAGGCACCGCCTACATTCGCAATCGATGGGGCTGTGCCCCAATGCAGGTTGCAGGTTGACTGCCGTGTCCTCCACGCGCTTTTCGCATGGTGGTGGCTGCCACAACGGTCCGTTCTCATAGATCTGGAACGGCCTCGGTCAAGCTTCAAGCTAGCAGCTGAGGTTCGAGAATGTCTCGCACAATCTTTTATCGTGTTGCACAGCAAGCAGGCACCATCAACTGGAACAGCAACACAACTGCCTTGGTGCCTGTTCAGTGCGCCCTGTCAAAACGATCCCCAGATGATCCCTGAGGGACCCAGAATGTCATAATCTCAAAACATTGGTTGGACCCCTAGAATATCCGATTTTGGATGAAATCTCTGAGGATAAAGCCAAAGAAAGCCTCAACTGAAGGGCAATGTGCTGTTGAAGCCCCCGACTCTGCTCGCCAGTAGATGTCATTGTCTCCTTGCGAGAAGGAGAAAGTCCGCCAGCCTCCGTAGTGGTCATGCTGCGGCTTTCTCACCAAGTCCTTCCCCTTGACATTGAACACCCTGTCCTCCTGTTCTTCTACTGCAGGGTCCCGTATCTAGGGGCCCCCTCCTTCCCCAGGGCCCAAGACCATCCCAAAATGTCGCTAAGAAAACGAATACTCATTGTCTTAACACCATTGTCCAATGGATTTTCCCTACCCCCCCCACTCTGAAGATGTTGCACCTGCTCACTGCAAATGCTGATGCATGCTAACAAAATGCTCAGAAAATGAGTGAGCACTGGATTCTGAGCGCCACATTCTCATGGTAGAGCAAGCTAAGAACATGAGTGAAATCTGAGCTCGCTGAATTGTTTTCTTACCCAGCGGTCGCAGTGCAAACCCTTAACTCAAACCCTAGGCCTGCTGCCCAACTCTGCCAAGGCGCGATAGTACACATGGAGTGAGTCCTCCAAGTTTTCCTTGTCCGTGGACATGAAGGAGAACCTGCTTCGATTTTGGGAAGTAAGCCCCCTTACCCCAATTTCCGGGCCTCTCACTGCAGGATATTGTGCTGCTACTGCATGGAAACCACTTTCAGAGAGGAATGGGAGGAAGTATGCTCGAACAGCAAAATTACTCGCAGCCAACGAACACCCGCCACCTTCCTAATATTGCATACTCCCTAATATGCTTGTTCACTAATCGTTTTACGTTACAAAGATGTTTCTCTTTTGAGGGGGTGGGGCCTTCCTTATTGCAGGGAGGTGAGGAATAATGGAAAAGAAAATGGAAACTGCTATATTATCATAGGGTTTAGGGTTAAGTAGCTTGCATTCTCTTTTCCATTATCCCAATACAACCCCAACATATACCCCAATATAGTACATTATAGTATATATTGCTCCAACCTCGGGTTGTCCTTCTCCTTGTCGAGGAGGAGCTTTTCCTAGGCTTTTAGGGTATCAAAATAGGGTCCAAATCCAATATAAGGTTTAGGGTTCAGGGTTCCTTTAGGGTTTATACACGTGCATCACACACAGCAAGCAATATAGGGTTTAGGGTTCATGGTTCTTTTGAGGTTTAGGGTTGTGGGATCTAAGTTAGGGTTTAGGGTCCGAATGGCGAGGATCCCACATGGCAGATTCCGAAAAATTGCATGCCCAGTGAATACCGAGACGCAAAGTCCCAGCCCTCATCCGCAACAAATTCGGCGGTTTTGTCGATGAGTTTCTTGAGAACCTCCAAGCCATACTGTCACGATCAGAAAGTCGATGCGGGTTACAGATGTGAAAAAGGGCATCGGAAGAAATCCCGATGCCTTACAGTACACTCCGAGGTTGAAGGAAACTAGCAGACGGTTTTGAATCCAGAGGCATTTGCATGTCATGTTGGGCTTCTTGCTAGAGTGACTCACGTGAGTTGTTGCGCTCAAGTGCCCTTATGCACAAACATGGTGCTAGGCGACATTACAAATTATGAGCTTTACATTGCAGGCGCTGGGCTTTAAAGATGTCATGGGCCAGCGTTGCCATTTGCAAAACCGATAGACCCCAAAAAGGTAAACCTTGTATACGGGGAGTCCATGTTCAGAGGCCTTTATCGTCTATCGCCAGTGCGGAAATGCAAGCAGCGATGAAAAGCTGTGGAAGAAGAAGAAGAAGTCAGCAAAGCTGCCACCAAACGTCCGCGAAATATTGGCAATCAGAAACATTCAAGCGTAGGATCCGGGGCTCAGGTTCCATTACGCCACCACAGCCAGCAATATGGCCAGCAAGAACACGACGGAGAAAAAGTACGCATAAATGAGCAGTCTTCGGGGAACATACTGGTAAGTATCCAGCCATCTATATATCCCTACATAATCCCTACGAAACCCTCCATTGCTCCATTATTCAGGTTCCTAAGATTCTACTGGAATGACAATTTGCCAGCCTCGTCTTCAGGAACCTTCACGACCAAAGTCTTTGCCAAGTTCCACCTGCGAACCCAAGGAATCCATGTGAGTTTTTGGCGGTTGAACCTAGTAAGATGATATTCCTTATATAAAAGAATATACACCAATTAAAAGGAGGAAATAATCTTACTCTATAGTGGGTACTGGGTACCATAAAATCCCCAAATACAATACTGCTCGTGTGAGCTAGAGTCAATATTTCCCCAGACAATTGATGAACGTGGGATCCTTAAAAATAGGGATTTGTCTAACGGACTAAACTAAGTTACAAGAGGGAACCCTATGTCTACTGTAAAGAGTCCCTTAACAAGGCGAGTACTGACAGTAGCCCATGTAGGAATATAGTATATACTTTGGGCCCAACGTATTTCGCATACGCCTACTTTGGGGCCCAAGTAAGCTACACGGCTACACAAACCCTTTGGGAAAGGGGTTCTAATTACACTCCCGCAATGGAAGATGGAGCCCTGCTAATCAGGCTTTCTAGGGATTGTGATGGGGGTATATAGTGCTCCGAAATGACCCTCTTCGGGCAACAAAATCTTTTCGCAGAACTTTTGCAGACGCATGGCCGCGCGTGTTTGTGATAGCTAACTCCTTGAGCAGCCAATCTCAATAACATTTTGAATCTGCAAGCCGCTGGCTTCGCCAAACCCTGCTCTAAATGTCTCCAGATAGTTCAATGAGATACATTGAAACTGCACCCTCAAGTCTCAAGTCTGAAATCTTTGAGCCTGGACTTGCACATGCCAGAGGATGGCTGCGAGGGTAGGGTGGCTACCCGAGCCCGCTTTCAAGTTTTCGGGCCCAGAATGAATGAGTTCAAAGAATCTTATTTGGGCTCAGTATCATAACAAGTAGCAAGAACACATCTTCTGAAGCTTTTGCCTAGAAATTATACTATCTACTTGCGCAGGACCTTCACGAAGCTTTCGGGAAACCTTCACACTAAACTTACGTAGTGTATGTAGATAAACACCCGTGACTTCCAGAACCGCAAGAAGTTCTAGCGCAGACAAGCTTTCATTGCTCTTGCCAAGGATGTTGAGAGAGAGAGAGAGAGAGAAGGCGGGGATTGCAACAGAACATTCACCTTCACGGAGGTAACCTCTCGGTCCTAGGTCCTTTGGAGCTATAGCCTGGCAAGGCTGAATGCGCAAGATGGGTTAGCTAAAAAGCTTTCGGGCCAAAACCAATCCCCGTCGCGGCGCCCTCACGAATCACCAGGGACCATCCCAGGGTCTCTGGGGCCTCCCGAGGGTCCTTCTGTTTTGGTTGTTGACCAAGATGGACCTAGTTCAGTTTAGCTCCTAAACCCCAGAAGGAGTAGGTTTGTTTGGGCGGTTGGCCGCCTCAGACGGCGTGGGGTGCGTGAATGTGTGATGGACTGCCGCCATCGAAGAATGGCAGCTTGTCGCACAACACGATGCGCTCGACACAACTCGGTGGCCTGACCTGGCCATCCGTGCTTCAGCACTACATCAAACAGAAACCTGACCGCTTTTGAACCCAGACCTTGCGCTGCCCTAAACTCCCAACCAAATCATGGAAGTCCCCCTGCATAGTTTAATAAAGGACACCCAAAAAACCACAAATCCAACTTATAATCCTTCATATGGGAACCCCATATAACTATCCCGTGTCTCTTTTGATGAACCCCTATATTGAGGCTGCAGCCGGGACTTCCTCTCCGAGCTGCTAGAGGCCTGCGGGGCGGTGGTAGGCAAACAAGACTAAAACTAAGATTCCTGAAGCTGAAATAATAATCCCCTTCAGACCTGTAACAACATGATGTCGTTCAAAGTTCCTTGGGTTATACAAGAACAGAACCTGAAAATGCTTCCGAAAGGGATGGGAGGAAAGGCTAGGAGGAAATCGTAGGGTTGAAGCACGCATTGCTCAGCCAGCACGGTGTGAGTTACAGAGTCCCGGTCAGACTACCCATATCAAAGAGTGTAAGGTTTGGGGTTCAGGGCCTCCGCATGTGATCCCTGTATCATTGGGGTTTTGGGGGGTACAGGTTGGGTTGTTACATAGATATAGCAGCCATATGAAAGCCAAGCTATCCTACTTCCTTTCTTGCAGATTTTTTGGGGGGGGTGTCACGGGGTGGGGGCAGTATCCAAGATACTTGCAATGCCTGGCACCGCATGGAAAGCATGCCCACTCTGCCTAGATGTTCGCAGCACAAAAACCCATGTATGTATGTATGTATGTATGTATGTATGTGTGTGTGTATGTATGTATATGTATATGTATATGTATATGTATATATCATTTGAACCATATATATATACATATACATATTATATACACATGTATGTATATGTGTGTGATTACTTATATCATGACTAGCTTTAGCCCTGCTCTCTGTCTAGCCCAAAAGAGGTATCAACTACATATCAAACTACATCATCACGAGGCAAGTCTTGCAGAATGATGACTTTCAACCACTCTGAATGAACTGCCACCCCCCAATGAGCGGCAAGGCCTGAGGAGAGCTGTCACCGGCTGTGATCATGGGCAAAGGCTGCGGGGTCTCAATGTGCCTCGCCAACAAACTCCGATTATTACTGTTGCTACTATTATTGCTACCAGTCCCTCAACGCCCCTGCCCCCCCCCCACCGCACATCGAACTGATCAAGTTAAGCGAGGCACGGCATCAGCGCAGGCTTGCTGATGACGCTGGGTGTAAGCCCCATAATGGCACCGATGTTCCTGCAGAGCTACCAGTCTGGCTAGCTGCAGCGATGTTCATAAGCGGACGCAAGTGAATAGTCGAGGGCCTGAGGCTAAACTGCTAGAACCCATGGACTGCCAATTGAGAGATAGCCTGGAACTGATACCAAACCTTGTTTCAGCAGCAACATCTGAAAAGCATCAATTGCCTGAGAAAAAAGATAAGTTCATGTAAATGATGGCGTTACTACTTTGACTCTTCGGTGAGGCTTTCCGGTCCTGACCGGCTGGATTGCACGCCCCCAGTCAATCCGCAAGCACATGCCAAAGTACTCCTTCAAAGTCGGGCGATTTGGGATGTCCAGAGATGGTTGCAGTCAAAGATGGGATTCTCAGTTGTTGCCAATTTTGACACCCCCCGTCCCCCCGCCCTGCTACCTGCTTCCTGTGTTTCTGAAGAGGGGATTGCAAGGAGGTTCTGGCGAGCTCCCCTTCAGAATTCCAAAGGGCTACTGTAAAACCCAAACCCTAAATCCCGGACCCTAAGCCCTACACCCAATGTTAGGATTGTGCAGCCAAGCTTTACCTGGGCCCAGTGCTTTGCTCCTTTGGTGCCTGGGTCGGAGCAGGTTGAGGGCTAAGGGGAATGGAAACAAGAACATGAAACTACAAAATGATTACAGAGGTTCTTGCTACGGGGATTCAGGGATATCAGGGGTATACAGGGCTGCAAAGGATGAGAGGTATCAAACGGAATGCTCAAAGTTGGCATGCTCGAGCACATGTTCTGATGCTGCAACCGCGCAATGTGGGGACCACTCAAAAACCACCTTGTCTGTGTGCAGTCGCAGTCGCATCTGTCAAGGCTGCTAAACAGCATTGCGCGAGGTGCTTCCATGAAAGTCTGATGTGAGAGTTGCCCATACGACGGTGGACGTCATCATGCCCTGAATAGAATTTGTCGTTTCCATGGGTTTTTCCGTTATCCCGACATAACCTCAACATACCCGAGTAGCTTCAATTTTCCATCATAGCTACATAACCTCGGTACGGGGTACCAGTGGTGGAAGCCGCCAAGCCGGGAGCACACACAAACTAATCTAGCAGCTCCATCTTCTTGTAACTACTTGCTTTAGGCCCCTCACCCTGAAACCAACATTACATCCTATAACGCCTGCATACGCCTGCCCTAATCCCTAAACAATCCCTAAGCCCTAAAACCCAGGAACCCTAAATTCCCAAAGCCCAAAACCCTAAACCCTAAATCCCCAAACCCATAACCCCTCATTAGCAGCCAATCCTTGCCATTCAGCTTTAATCTGGCATACTCCGCTTGCGCCCGCGTTTTGAACTGAACGAAGCCACTGTTCATGCCTCAACAGGGGTCTTACATAGGGCTTGTATGGGGTTTGTACAGGGGTCTTAGGGGGGAAATGGGGGGTTTAGGGTTTGGGTTGGACTGTTGGGTTGAGGGTGCCAGTGTTTATGCTTTGCAGCGCTTCCGACCATATATTGCAACCATGAACACGGCTCTCCGGGAGTTGCTTCACATCAACCTATACATGGCTGCTGCTAAGGACCTTAAATCAAATTACCATAATATGGGTACATAGTACATAATAGGGCTTTCTTATTACAGCAACTTGATTTACGTACGATCCTTAACAGCAACCCCATCCAGTCCACTATAATCTTTCTTCCTTCCATTACAGTTCCCTGTACCATTCCTTGTGCATTAGCCCGATTACCCCGCCACACCACCGGGAGCGCGGTGAGGGAGGTCCCCTAAACGTTTTGGTTGCTAGTAGGGCTTAGGATTTAGGGTTTAGGGGGGGATGAAGGAATGGAAAACAAGAACAGGTAAATTGTCATGCTCTGGGTGGTCATATAGCGGCCACTATGGACTAACAACCTTTTTGTTCAGCTTCGGGTGTTCCAGACTTATTCACGCCAAACCCCAAACCCAGAAAGTATCTCCTAAACTCTATACAGCCCTTTAAACCCTGAGTTTCCATTTCATCTTCCATTTGCTTGCCCATTGCTGGGGGAATGCTGCAGTTGCACACAGCACGCACCTCTAAACCCCCACATCTAACAAAATTCCAAAATCCCAACTCCTTTTGCTGTACCCTTAGCCCCCCCTCTCACAAAATCCTTAATCCTAAACCCCAAACAGCAAGGGTGCAGCAAATTTTGCGACCGTACAAGCAAAATAGCGGCAAAGCTAAACAGATTGAAAAAACCCAGGCATGACAGCATTTCCAACCAGATCAAAAAAAGCCTGCGGGGCTAGACGGCTCAATGCCTACGGCAACCCCAGAAATGATAAAATCTGATGAAATATGGCAAAAAACGACGAAAGAGGTTGAAAACTCGATGAGCAATCATGAAAAAAGAAAAATGAAAACTGGCGAGCATGGATGACCCTCAAAAAAGCGATGGGTTTAAGGCGGGGGTGGGGCCTCTTTTTTGCGAACAAAATGATCCGCATCTGAATAACCATCCCTTACTGCAACCATAACCATGACGTGGACTAACATTATGATCTTTGAAATGATGATGATGATGATGATGATGATGATGATGGCGATGGTGAAAGTGTTGAAACATGCTGGAGTATGAAGAAGTATGATGAACGTGTAATAATGCCGATCTAGAAAATGTTATACACACAATAGCAGTGGTAATACGAATAAAGAATTCCATTTCATAAAAACTGTTCGTAATAACCATCGTAGTAATAGTACCTAACAGCACTACTAATAGTACGGTTATTAACATTAACAATAATCAGAATAGAGGGAAAGAAGCTAGTAAGCCAGGGATACAGGAAGCCAGGTATGTTATAGTATATTATGGTATATTGTGGTATATCTTGGTCTATTAATAACAGGGAAGCATGGAATATCAAGCAAGCAAACAGTGTTAGAAAACACAAGATGTGCTGATGCTGCGGAGCTAGAAGAATGTTGTATTTACCGTACCTGCGGCCCTTCCTGATCCTAAGATCCGTAAACTGCAGTATTTTGGTGTTCATTCGTTATGCTGCTCTTTTTTTGCTTGATGCTCTTTATTTTGGTTGATGCTTATTCTTTTTTTGGATGCCTATATTCCTCAAGCAACTTGCATCCCCAGCTAAAGGCCTCGCTGGCGTTGTTGCTCGTTCCTGTTGCTGATGCATGGGTTTGGCTTTGCCAACAATTAGCAGCCCCTTTACAGTGGCAATACACGGGTGCCTGATAGGGTTACTGGTCGTTTCATGGGACTTACTGACTGACTTCTTACAACTGGGATGAACAAAGTACTTATAAGTGGGAGAACCGGATAACTCTACTAAACGCCGCTAAAGCGGGTGTAAGTAGGTTTATAAGCCCAGTTATAAGTCTCAGTAGTTTCTAGGTACCATCAACCTGCAAGTATGTGGGAGTATATAGGGCAGATTAGGGTGTCCAACGCTTGGGGTCCAACTTTAAGGGCTTCATACGTACTACAAATCAAATGGAAATCTCATTGTCTTCAGGAAGCTCTTAGATGAGTGTCTATCAAAGTGGTGGCCCACCTTGTGTTCTCCGCAAATTATGAAATGCTTTCTTCATGTTCGGAACACCTAAAACCCCTCAATGCTTTGGAAGCCCCCTGAGAAGCACTGATCAAGCAGAGTGATGTAATTGCAGCGTCCTGGGGTACATGATCTTGATCGAAGTGATCTCTCCGAAGCGCCCGAACCTTGCCATATTGCGGTGGTTTCCCAAAACGGCGGGCCCCCCATACAGACCCCAAAATACTGCAACTAATCCTTATTATAGGGAATCTAAAGAGGTACCCTAATTTCGGGTAACCATCGTGTAGCCTGTGAGCGCTGTGCATCCAGCTAGGCCTGCTTGCCGAATCACATCCCATGCCCCCCCCCCACATAAAACGAAACATACTGCTGCGACGGCAAATTCTCAAGAGCACGTATGCAAATGACAAAAGAAATGAGGATTGGAATCCCAATGAGAGACAGCTATGGCACGAAAATATCGCTCTGGGGGGCCGGCTCGCGGGAAATCAGCTCTTCAGTCCACTCTGGGGACAAGGACCCGACGTAAAGGTTGTTGGTGTCCTGGCCCTGGCCGACAACATGGGCAACATGCTTCCTCTGAATCTTTAGTCTGGACAATTAATTAACTGCATCAGTACTTTTCCGTGTGCCGTTCCTGGGACCAAAAAATAGGAAGGCTTCGCAGGGCTAGTGATTCATGCTGTACCGGACAGCGTTAGCTCCACCAGCAGGTCTTTTCTGGCACCTCCGCTGATGTGAGCGGGCCGGTCTGCTGCTGCTGGTGATGCGAGGGCGTGGCGATGTGCCCATCAGCCTGGGCCTTGCCAAGATGTCAAGAAAGACTCAAAAGAAAATCAAATGGACAACAAAATTGAAACTGGTGGGTTTTAGGGGGTTGGGGTTTAGGCTGAGCGTTGGGCTTTCCATATTCACGGAAGACAAACCTGCAAAACATGTTGAGCTAGCCGAAGGTACACAAAAGCGGTGATCTCCACTTGCGGGCTCTTACGATGAGCACTCAAACCCTATATAACCCTGCATATCCCTGTATAACCCTAAATGCCCCTATACCATCCTATATACCCCTATATAGCCCTAGATCTCCCCTATAACCCCTTCTTGATGCCGTCAGGGGTCTTTGCTAGCAAGCTGAAACTTTCTTGGAGGGGCTCTGCCCTGCGGGGTTTAGGGTTTATGGTTTGGGGTTTAGGGTTAGGGTTTAGGATTTAGGGTTGTGGTTTGGGGTTTAGGGCTTCCGAACGAATACAAACGTCTACAAGAGCGTGCTATACTTTGCAGAGATTAGAAATCCTTTTTTAAGCGCGCCCATAATGAGGATGTTTAAAAGTGTTGGGGTTGATAAGGGCAGATGAGGATGTCCATCCCTAAACAACAGTAATATTCTAGTAATAATCATAGTAAGAATGGCAATGATGTTAACCATGGTGATAATAATAATGGTAATAATAGCAATGATAATAATTAATGCCTGCTACCCCAAATGCCTACAGCCTGATAGTAATTACCCCTTAATTAGTAGGCATAACTAACCCCTGAAACTGTACGCAATTGGGGTTACAGGTAAGCCCTAAACCATGTTAAACCTCCTCGGTCCGGGACCAGGAAGCCTTCTACGTAGGACAGCTCTTGCCTGCGCGGCATGAGACTTCGCAAGCTCAGGGCGATGGTACTCCTTTAAGAGGGACGATCATTTCCCGAAAAACTGATATCTATATCAGTAGCCGGAAGAGACTAAAGGATATAACTTGGGCTTTGAACTGCCAACTACCTAGCCCCTTTTTTGGGAAGGGACTCTAGAGGACGCCCTGACTCCTGCCTGCCGGTCAACTGGGCCAGAAGTGGACACATACATACAGTACCTAGCCCTAAACCCCAAGCACCACTCTAATATCCCATTTCTTTTCAATTTGATTCTACGTAAGGCCTCGTTAAACCCGATCTAAACCTATAAAACCCCACGCATCGATATATATCCCCATATATCCCTCCTTGCCCCCCCATGTTCCCATCCCATATATCCGCATATAACCCTATCAATCCCTGGCCCTGTTGCAACCCTACATAATCCCTTACTCTAAACCCTAAACCCTACATCCTAAACCCGAACCCTAAACAGCTTACCATGCCTCAGCCTTCCGAGCCGCAGGGTGTCCTGCAGTTACCAGCAGGCTGGTTTGTCTAAGGAATTCAGCAAGGAGATGTGGGGAGGTACAGATATATCGGTATCTGGAAAATTCTAAGGACTAGAGATTTTCTCAGGCAGATATGATTTCCCAAGCGAACGACTAAAAGAAAAAGTAGCTATGCCCGAGCTACCAAGCAACATTGACTCCCTGCATTCAACTTGTTCCAGCCTTCCCTATCCCCCCGGTCCCCTAATCCGCGTTCCACCATGCCCCAGTGCTTGAATTGAAGCTCAACCCTGTGCAAGACCCTTATACATCAACATGTTATGGACAAATCGGCTTGGGCAGTAGCAACAGCATTGCCGGAGCATTACGCTTGTAACATGCATGAAGTGCTCACTCCTGCGGGGAGGAGGCGAGAAGAGAGTCGACCTCTTCCCTTAAACGCTTCCTGCCAAAGCAGCTGCTGGCGACAGACGAGCACAAGCATAACAATGATCGGCTTGAGGAGTTGGCTGTGAGAGGTGCTCGGGCCACTCGCAAGTCGCGGCGCAGGAAGCGGCCCAGCAGCAGCAGCAGCCGCAGCAGCTTCATGATGATGATGATGATGATGTACGATGTTACAGAGCAGCACTGAATTTCTTGTTGCAAGAGATTTGGCGGCAAAGTCATTGACATTGAAGCTCGCCGAATGTAGCAGCCAACCCTGCTACAAAGCATTCATTCTTTGATCGCAGTCATAGCCATCTTCATCCTCATAAGAACACCAACAACAAAAAAAGTCGTCATCATCACCATCATCATTATCACAGTCAGTCTCGTGCTTATCCAGTTTCATCAGGTCATACCAATGATTACCCCCCCATCCATGCAAGTACGTCATGTGCTCTTCTGAAAGGTGCCGGCCGCTGTTCTCGCTTCTCTTGCTTCAGTTTCATCTCCTGCAAAGGATTTCTAATAGAGCAAGCAAGCTTCTGCCACAAGATAAGCAAATCCCTTCCCCGGTATGAGGCACCTCCCGGATTCCCACCCCCTGATGTTGAACATGGTCCACAGCGCGTGTATATGTATTTGGTTTCTCCACATATATATATGTATATACATATGTGTGTGTATGAATACATGTAAATTTAACATATGTAAAGATGTCTATTGGTCACTGTAAGGAACATCAAATATCAGGGGTGGTGGGGTGTCAAAGGAAAGGAACTATGAGGTGGAGGAACAGAGTAGCAAGAACATACATGAGAGAATCCGGAATTGAGATCCTGCAAAACTTGCTGAGATAAGTAGGAAAGGCGCACCAGAAAAAGACCGCACCCCTGTCATCCATCGGAATGTAAGGCCATTACTTACATGGTCCTTGCTCCTGTATCCTTGTTACCATCACTTATGCAGGTTACTACCGCCTTCTGAGTATGTCTACTCATCTTCTCTATCAACCGCCTATGAATAATGTTCAACTCTTCACCATCCTCCTCATGCCGGTGTTTGCTACTCGCATTTCATGATCTATTCACCAGCATGAATAAAAGCCCTAAACCCTAAACCCTTAGACCCTAAACCCTAAGACGTCCTCCAAGAGGCTCATGGACTCTGATACCTTCCCTTTGCCTCCGGCCTGGCTTGGCAACTCATGACTACGACTTTCTTCAACAACAATTTTTGAATGTCAAACATAGACGGGCCAAAATGGACCCTGCAGGGGTGGGTGGGGGTTACGCGGGGATTATGCTGTCCCGCGTAGGGTTTCCATGCCCCAATTTCTCCTCGTCAGAGAAATAGTCAGCTCGTTTGCTGGACAAAGTGCTTCAATTTCTTGGTCCAACTGTGCGCACGTGCGTATCTTCGAAGGGCAGTCTCCTAATGGGCGGGGTGCCTGTACACAAGCTGTCATGCCATGCAACAAGGCAGCCAGATACGGTCCTCCAGTGACAAAGAAGCAGGCATTATATGGGGTGCACAGGCTGTGCACAGGGATTTTGGGGTTTGTGTAGGGGATATGGAGGAATTGTACAGGGATGACATAGGGGATCCATCAAGATTAGCAATTGTAATTACCACAAACTCAAAAACCTAGGCGTAGAGTCCCTCAACACAAAACCCAGTCCTGATGATGAATGTACCCCTATATCCCTAGGACCCCTTAAACGGTCTCTGAAGCGCCTAGGCCCTAAACCCTATAGTAATTTCTATCTACTTCTCCTATCCAACCTGAAAAATCCCAAATCGTGGCCCCTACATCATCCCTTTCCAAGCTCCACATAATCCTTCAATAATCCTCTGTATAACCCTAAAGCCTACATCATGCTTAGAACCCCCTTCAAAGTTGCAAGACCTTCGAGCCGCCGCCGCCACCGCTGAAGCCCATGCCTGGCCGTCAAAGGGCCATAATCACCGCCCCCCCATGATGAACCTAAAAGGAATTTATAAAGGTATATAAACCTCAAAACAATTTAGAGGAATGTACAGGTGAGTGGAAGGTTTAGGCTTTAGGGCTAAACACTCCACCCCTAATAAACCAATATCACAGTACGAATAATATGTACACATACATATATATAGATATATGATAATGTGCATGTATATGCATGAATAGTTATTACTGGGGAGGTATTAGTCATTACGGTTGGAGCTGAAGATGCATCAGGATCACCATGGCAAGGTTTCGATAACCAATCTAAATGCAATCGCGTACCGTGGGGTAAGAAGCACAAGGGAGAATTCACCTTTGAATTCCTCCCCCACCGCCTCAATCACTATCCCCAATAGGATGCCATTGTATGTAAGGGGGATACGTATCATTAGGTTGAACCCTGCGCCCCATGTAATATGGTGCTTTGGATTTTCTTGTCCACTTGCCTATATTGTGGTTTCCACCAAATAGGGCGACTCCAACATAACCCGCCAAAATGCTGTAACCCTTTCTATAGAAGCCTGTAAAAAGGTACCCCTGATTTTGGGAACCCCCTGTGAGCTATAGCCTAAGCTCCTAGTCTCCCCCTTAATAACCCCTTGAAGGAGGTTAGACCGTAGCCCACCTGTTCTTTTTATACAGCACTTGAACCCTAAACCCTACACCCTAACCCTAAAAAAGGGGCTTATGTAAGCCCTGCGCCTAAGCCCTAAACCCTAAATGGTAGTTTCCATTCTATTTTCCATTATCCCTATATAGACCCCAACATGTCCCCAATATACCCCTATATGACCTTTAAACCCCAAATGGCAGCTTCCATTTTCTTTTCCGTTATCCCATATAACCCCCTTATATTATACAACCCTAAACCCTAAACAGTAGTTTCCATTTTCTTTTCCATTGCCCCAAAATAACCCCTACATACTATAGTAGTTTCCATTTTATTTTCCATTATCCCTATATTAAGGCCAGCAAGCCAAGCCTGGCCCCAGGCTTCCCAGCCCCACAGCCCGGGAGGTGGCGCCGGGCGGGGGCCGCCACAGGGCCGGCCTGAATACAGGGTTTACTTACCTCCCCAGACCCCTGGGAGGATCTAAAAATTAAATCCCCTATATAGACCCATCATAACCCCTGTATAATCCTCATATATTTTCCCATATGGTTCTAGGGGATCTGTTTTTTAGATCCCTTTGGGGTCTGGGTCTGGCCAAGAGGGAATTTTAGGGTTTAGGGTTCAGGGCTAAAGGTAAGTGCATGGAAAAGAACATGCAAACTACTGCACATTTGGACAGCTTATATATAGGGACTACTGTAAGGAAACATTCCTGCATTCCTTGCTAAGCTGAGGTAAGCTTAGGGCCTAGGGCTCCAGGGAACCACCAGGTAAAATCTAAAGAAATGCATTACCTGGGCGGCCCTAAATGCTGCTTAGGATTTCTTGCGAAAACAGGGTCCACCTTGAGTCCCCACACAAGGTGCACCAACCTCATTAACTACGCGGACTCCAACACAATACCTCCACTGGCAGCATGCTTGACTATTCTTCAAGTCTTCAAGTAGCAGTGACTACCTTAGCACTTACACTGGAGTGACCACGACCATCTATGCTATCGTGTTGTTCTGATGGTGTGGTGCACTTTCCGATGTCCGAGGTGGACTGCCAACTTCACACACGCAAGGCGGAAACAGATTCTGATTGGAGGCTCTGCCTTGTAAAGATGGGAATCAAGCCCCTGGTGTTTCGTCAAAGTCAACGAAAGCATGCCCACTGCTACCTACCAGACCAGGCCTCATTGAAACCTAATCCCTTCCCCGCAGTATTAAACCCCCGAATATCAAAATACGGGTGTGCCAACAATCCAAACTGTGAAATCTGCCTCGTAGACCATTTTTGAAAGGGCCAAGACTAAAGTTAATTGCGGCTCGGATTTTCCGAATTAGGGGGTCCCTAGCATGACTCTCAAGGATTACGGGTCTCCTTGATTTGCAAAATGTTGATTGCTTTTGAATGTTTTCATACAGACATTTACATAAAATCGGCATGCTTATTGCGATTGTAGCTTGTTATCAACTAGATCCTCATTAGTTTCCAATTAGATCCTAATTGGATTTCAAACGATTGTAAATAGACTTATTAGATTTATTGGGTTTTTAACTGGATTTGGTCGATTCTTGTTCGATTTCAGTATTTCAATCGGGTCCTATGGTATGCCCACTAATGTTCGTACAATAAAGACCCCTAATATTAAATACAGGTTGGAATACATTACAACAGGGAGGGGTCCCGTTTAATATTGCGGGGAAGGGATTCACTGGATCTATGCCCTCCCCGATAAGACACAAGTCTCCAAGCCGTAGCAAACCCAGAGCGCTGACAACCTCGATGTCTTTTCCTCAAATCTTCCGGAAGGCGTCTTGGCTGGTCCATCTGGGCCAGCAAAGTCTGTACACTGTACACCGTGGCCCTCGTTCTGCTCAACATGCGAAAAGATAACGTCAGTCCAAACCATGACGCTCCTGCCACGCCAAGAAGAGAATTCAAGAACTTACAGCATTCCGTCCACTCAGCAATAAAACCCCTAACTCCGCCGGGAGTCATCATGTCGTCGAACTCGCGCAAGGCGCACTGAACGGCGCGGAGGGAAGAGTCGGATGCAAGCCTGCGAAAGCAGCACGAACTAATCCCTCGACACAATGTGACTTTTGGTACCAGCACGCAGCTGTAACTGCTTGGGTTGCAAAACTTGTGAATGCAAACTATCCAACTGCTCCTATGGCCATCTGAGCATACAAGCAGCATGGTAAGACATTTGCCAGGCAGAGGACACGGGCCTTGCGGAAGGCAGAGCTCACAGCTGCAAAGCAGCCGCTGAAGGCACGAGCAAGTGGCTGCAAGGTCCATCGGTGCCTAAACAATCGAACTTTGAGGGTTTCGCAAAATTGGGGGCCTTTGGGGACTCTAGGGATATCTGGAGGGATCGCCGAGGTCCCAATCAAGGATTCTATAATGCTTGTTCTTCAGAACACTGCTTTCTCCATAGTCATAGTCAATCACACCTATAAGAGGTTGTAGGAAGTTACTTGGCTACGACTATTACTCGGATTTTGCCCTACCTAGCCCTAAGCCCCCAATACACAACTCTACAATCCCTGTAATTCCCTATTTGGTAGTTTCCAATGTAGAACCCAATATACTATAATCCTTATAATGGGGACCCCCCAAAATGGCACCCCTAATTTTGGGAAACCCCCATTTATCCCTGTTTCCATGTCATTTTATGTTCTTGACCATTCCATTCCTTTGGATTCCAGCTTGCCGCTCTCCGTCATTCCTCAGCCCCTGACACTTACATATCCCTAGAAAATCCTATAGGTCTAGGGTTTAGGGATTCGGGTTGAAGGTTTAGGGCATACGTACTCATATAACCCCATACATCACTAGGCAAGGCCGGGGCACGCCAGTTCCAAAATGGGACCTGCCCTGTCGGCCGCAGAGCGTGCCGCACGCCGAGGCCAGGGCCTTGCCATTGGCCCCTTTTTAGAGTTTCGGGTTCAGGGTTTTGAGTTGAAGGGCTATATGAAAATTCATGTGGGCCATAGTCCAAACTCCTTAGAGGGGGTTGTGTAGGGGATTATACAGGGGAGTAATGTACGGGTCATTCAGGGGGACACTAGGAGTTTTCCACATAGCTCATGTAGGGGTATATAGTCAAAGCGACATGTAAGGTTGTAGAGTAAAGGGTTTAGGGTTTAACTAGGGTCATGCAAAAAAAAAATGGAAACTACCTTGTTATCCGGGGGGTTCAGACCGAAATGATCGGATAAGGGAAACAACATGGACACTACCCCTTTATTTATTGCTTGTGGATCCGTACCTCTAACTCTAGGGCCAAAGAGGAATGAACACTTTCCTTCACGTCAGGCCCTAAAACCTCAACCCTATAGACCCTATAGTTTTTACCCATAAGCCCTAAACCCTATAAACCCTGCTGTAGCAGATAAACCCTAAACTCTATAAACCGTATGATAACCCTAAACTCTGCATAGCCCCTAACCCTAAACCCTAAACCCTAAACCCTAATCCCTAAACCCTAGAGCCTTGACGACCACCAACGCTGCATGACGAGGCCGGCCTGTGGAACCCCCGACGGACATGCGAGGGTTTAGGGGTTTAGGGTTTTGGGGGTTTTGGGGTATAGGGGTTTAGGGTTTAGGGTTCAGGGGTTTAGGGGTATAGGGTTTTAGGGTTTAGGGGTATAGGGTTCAGGGGTTTAGGGTTTAGGGTTTATCTGCAGGTCCTTTGTGCAAACAGGGACTGCATAGAGGATGTTAGGGTTTAGGTCCAGCGGTGAAAGGCAGGGAGTGGAAGCGAAACTGGAAACTACCATCTAGGGTTTCCACTATTTAGGGCTTAGGGGTTGTTGAGGGTTGATCTGAAGGTCCTTTGAGGAAATTATTTTGGGATCCTGTAGGTCTATAAGGAAACATGAAAAGGAACTTCTTTCCGTGGTAGTCATTTTGGGAAGAGGAGGTCTGATCAACTACCAGATTGTAAGGATAGAAAACTGGGTGCGTCCGCCAAGAGCTCCTGCACCTAGCATCAACTAAGGAACCTGACAAAGCCGCACTCAGAAAAGTGGACTTTCCTAAGCCACCGCACCCAGCAGCCTATCTCGCAACGGAAGCCGTATATACAACTTTATAAAGGGCTCATGAAGCAGTTGTCAAGATAACATGGGGGGGGGTTCTCAAACTGGCGGGGCACTGCCAGACACGACGGATGAATGAGTTGTGCACAAAGAAACTCCCGAACAATCACCAAGGTCCTATCAAAGGGGCCTGTGCACTAGGCTGGATACCAGGGAACACTTCTGTTATAATCCATGGCAGTCAGTAGAAGCAATTAGAGGAAGTTACCTGCCTAGAAATCAGATTTTCCGCAACCTAGCCTCTGACAGACGCCTGCTTGCTGCCTCGGCTGCTGCCACGACGGCCCTCCGCGGCCAAGGCCTTTCCAAGAATGCAGGGGATGCTCATCTGCCTTGCTTGAATCTACAGTCATGAATTGCCTAAAGTCAGTGGTCCCGTGTGTGTCTTGATAACATGGGTTTTGTTGTTATGAAGTATGTGAACCACAACATCACAAAAGAACAGCTGCAGGGCGAACATGAAAACAGTGTTGTGTAGCCGCTGCAGAAGTTACTGGCTTAAGCTTTGCTACACATAGTCGGATGCAGTCGTGACTGGCACTGCTGATGCTACTACCACTACTACTACTGCTACTGCTACATGCTGGAAGAAGTTGCGCATATACCGAGGCGCCTGGAAGCCCACCAGCGCGACAAGGACTCCAGATGGCCTCCCGTAGCCAAGGAAGCAGGAGGCCCGTGATTTGGGGTAAGGATTTAGGGCAAGTCTAGGAATTACAGGATAGAGTTTATCTAGGAATCAATGACTGGAATTAGACAAGGGCTTTGAAGATTCAAGGGCGTTTTATCTTTGAGCTTGCCCCTTTTGCAGGATTTTGGAACCAGTCTCCCATACTAGTACGACAGCCCCTATACATGCGCAATAAATCCAGCGGCCCAAAAAATTGGGAGACTACTTTTAAACGGGACCCAGTCTCCCGTACTAATGCGACAGCCTCTATACATGCGTAATAAGTCCAGCGGCCCTAAAAAAATGGGAGACTACTTTTAAACTGGACGGGCTTTGAAATCGGGCCAACAAGGCATTATGACATTGAATATTGAATGAGTGGGTTCTGATTCTTGTTGTGTGTATGGGGGAGGGGGGTGGTCATGAGGAAAGGTAAGGGATTGTGCACGTTCTTTCAATCACTTCTTATTCTCTGCGAGGTCTTACACGCGAATTTGTACAAAAGAATCTGTAGCAATCTTGTGTTGGAGTTAGGGATTCCATTCAGGTCCTAATTCCTATTGCTTCTGTGAGGGTACCAAGAAGAAATCTACACTTTTCTGCTCGATAAACTAATTACTTGATTCGTTCAGTTGGTACAAGTTCCAAATGGATGTTAACCTGTCAATGCTAAGCCACCTAATTGTTAATTAGTTGGAACCCTGGACCAAATAAAGCAATCAGCGACTAAGTCCTCATCTAAGCCTTTCAAAAGATACGCACCTTGAAAATCGGCTAATCTAGAAAGGGGCAGGGGCAGGCAAGGACACCCACCACAGCCGAAAATGGGTTTCCATGCTAGTTTTTCTCAGGCCCTTGAGGCCACTTCAACACGGCCGTGTCACTTGCTTGCAAAGGAGCCACACATGTCTGAGATGTTTGCCAACCACCAGACATGTCACGCAATTTCAAGCTTGTCCCTGCCTCACGGAGATGTTTGACGACCGTTTTGTCTAGCGCTGCTGCAAGAGGACTCTGGGGTTGGGCACTGCAAGGGCAGTCTTAGATCTGCTGGGGCACTGGTTGGGTGCTGGATCTCGAGCGGCCCTCTGGGTGTAGAGCTGCAGGGACTCGGGGCGAAAGGGGGTGGTCTCCTACAAGGAATTTCCCTGGGTCACGCATGCCAAGTGCTTCCCTCATTTTTCCCTACCCCCACTGAACGGCTGCAAGCCTTCTAATGGTCCATCATCTTCCCCTCGCCCGCTCTGACCCTAAACTCCCGCACATATTTCGCCCGGCTGCCTTCATGAAGCTGAAGTGTACATGTTGGCCTCAGCCCCGGCTAAGTTCAGCGTCTTCTGTAAAGTTACGTTGTTTCAGGAGCTGTCCTTGCAGCAAAGGAAACAATTAAGCAGAATGGCCTGCCCCTCAATCGCTGGAAAGAAGTCGTCCCTGCGTCTAATACTGGGTACCCACTACAGTATTGCCCTGAGTACTGGAGAATCGAGCACTAAAGCAGTGAAACCACGTCGTCAATCAGTGTGGATCCACTTTTTTGTGGGGCCCAGCGGGATCCAGCGGGCAGGTGCCTAACTTCCAGATTTGCAGAACAGAAGTTTGTCAGATTGTATGATTTTCGGAATACTCTGGACATGTCCAATTCTGGAATCCCACCCACAGTTACCCCCTGTATTTCCTCAACTCGAATCCACTGCCCGGTGTCATCTCCCGGGCCTGAGGCCGTGGAGGCCCTGGCGATGAGGCTCATTCAAAAGCCAAATGTTGCAAAACTGTACCTATAGCTCTAGGCGTTGTGGTATTCTGAGTGCTGCAGGGCTGCAGTCTCTGCCCCAGCACTCTGGAACAGCGTTGTACCATCTCCCAGATTGAGCTGGCGAGCTCGCTCGCGCTGCTCCAAAGCCATTGAAGAGAATGGCTGCAAACGCGTGCAGAGCCTGCGGGCATCATGTCTGAGCCTGTCTTCATTCTCTGCACTGCACGGCTGTTCTAACAGTCCGGGCCAACGGAAAGGCAGAAATTTCGAACAAGTAACACGCCCCCAGATATTCTAGCAGATCATGACACCATCTGCGTGCAGGTTCGGCCAAGGACCAGGCGCGGTTGGCCTCATGTGCACAATTGCAATGGCCACTAGCAGTCACTATCGTGCCCAGGTCCATGCCAAAAGCCCAAACATGCTTCCAGGTCATGCAGCGTGGTGCGGGGCTGAGGTTCTTGGCCAGACCCCATGCTGCAACGCCCATGCATCTGTAGGAATACCGCGGTCAATTCACCAGGGGTCTAGTTGCATGCCGAGCCACCATGGATGCGAAAGCTCGAAGGCCATGGAGGCACGGATCCCAAACGCGGTCCTGCAAACTGTGGCCATCATATGCCTTTTTCAAGTACAACCTCTGAACAAGCCAGCTCAACAGGCCAAGCTTGGATCTGGACTCCAACCCTCGAAGCCATATATGATGCATACCCCGCTCGGGACCTATCAAATCAAACGTGACTCACGCGGAGAGATGAGAGCTGCGAATGGTCCTTCAAAGGTGCTTCACAACTGCCAAACAAATCCGCTGCTACCACGCGGAAGGCTTCCCCCTGCAATTCACGCGCAAACTCTGTGGCCAGCCTTGAGCATGATTCCCAAGCGCCGACAAGACCGCCAAATTGCCCCCAGAAGTTGTTGGCAAGGTCGTGCCACTGCAAGAAGACCTGTGTCATCCCCAGGAAAGGTCATGGACATGTGCTTCCTAATGCGTCACTTCACTGGGACTCCACTGGCACTGGCAACTTGAAGCGCAGTCTTCTTGCATGGCAGCCCACCTGGTAAAAACCGACCTGATTGCAATTCCCATCCAAGCCCATAATAAGCAATATTCAACCCAAATCTAAAACGTATGCATATACATCTGCATAGGCACGTATTTTTACATATTATATATATATGTGTGTATATTTGTGTGTATACATATCTATATATACATACGCACATACGGATATCATATTGGGGAGGGGCATTATGAGGCATGTTGCGGCTTGTTATTCTTGTCCGAGGTTCACCGGGTGACTGCAGCCTTGCGTTGCTCCTCAGCAAAAACAAACTGTGTTCAGCAAGGGATGCATTGCTGTTAGGTGCAAGCATGCTGGAAGGTTCCGATAGGAGCTCCCAGGCGGGTCCTTTAGAGACAGCAAGGAAGCCGAGGTGCCAACCCCAACATACCCCAACATCCTGAGACACCCCAGGGGACAACTTAGGCAGTCACTACTGCGGTCATCATCGCTGTTAAGGGTTAAGGTTTAGGGAACCATTCCCACAATGCTGACGACTCGAATTGACAAGAAAATCGGAAATTACGTGGAAACTAGGATGGAGATGTTAGGTGCAAGTCATGACTAAATGCCCCTAAACCCTAATCCCGTAAACTGTAATCCCTAAACCCTAATCCCCAA